ATACTAAATGAAAGTGTTATTATTTAAATTGTTTATTATTAAGATTAGTTACTAGTGGTTTTTGTTTTTGTTGTGACTGTCTATAAGTTTCTTCATGTATTCTTATTATTATTATTTTTATAATAATTTCGTTTTGTATTTAAATTTTTGTTTTCATATTCTCAAATACACACTTTTAAATTTATTATTAGGGTAGTACATATACATTTATTAATTCAATTTTCATTATTATTTAAGACGATGATGATTTTTTTTGTAAAAACTTTTTTTATATTTTCTTATTATTCTCCTAAGTTTTTTTCTTATTAATTTTCAAAAAAAGACGACAATTTTTTTTTAATTTCTTGCTTAGTGACGCTATAATGACACAACGACAAATGACGACGACGACATTTTTTTCCGTATTTATTTATTAATTTTTCTTTTTGTTAAATATTTTTATTTATATGTTTACTTATGTTGGTATTGGTGTTCGATTTAGTTTTTGTTTTTTTTAATAATTTTTTAGAATTTTTAATAACTTATTTATGAACTTTAAACAATTATGTGTTTTTTTTTCTCTAGGGTTTTTTATTTCTTTGCTTAAATTCTTGTTTATTTGTCAACCCTAGTTAACTACTTTGTTTTATCAATTATTTATTTGACATCAATATTTAGAATTATTATTTATTTCTTTGCTAACATTTATGTAGAAATTGTATAGATTTTTCCCAAATATTTGCTTTAAATTCATGTTGAACAGTGTTTTTTTGTAAGTGTACACGAAAGCTTTTCTTAAAAGCTCTCAAATTTTATATAAAAAACAAAATTTAAACAAAACATAATAACGAATATAATGCTAAAAAGAAGATCATATAATAAAAACCAAGACATGATCAGTGATCGTGATAGCTGTCGGATACCTTAACAAATTATTTAAAATTTCGATCTATTTCTTAATTCGGTTAGTGCTGCAGTATATGAATAGCTTTCTTTGACATTTGATTAAAAATAAGAACTGCCGTTTGCTTGATAATGATCTTGAAATAGTTACAAGATCCATCATATAATACTCAATATCAGAAGACAGCAGAAATTCAGTACAACTGACATGATCAGTGATTAACATGAGTTTGCTTGATAATGATCTCGAAAAAGATAAGATCATATAATGCTCAATATCTGAAAACAGTCCAACTCATAGGATCACACAATGGAAATCAAGACAAGATCAGTGATCGTCTAAGCGAAATACTTTTGATAGCTGTCAGATACCCTAACAATTGGTATAACAATTGTTATAAACTTTTGAACGAAAAATTTACGAAAAGGTTCTTTACTCAAAGCGATTTCAAGAATCTCTCTTACTTTGTTTTAGGCGTGGTTATCGAGAGTCCATTTTCCTCATACAATACTACTCTTAACAAGCAGTTGCGTTTAAAATCTAAGTATAATTCTTGTATGTCCAATAAAGTTGATTTTCTGACAAAAAATCTTAGTAGTGGTCTTCCCTACAATATATATTCAAGATCAACATGGTCGTGTGCTCTCAAGACAGTATTACTTTATATGTTTGAGTATTACTTTTTATGTTTGAGTTTTGCTCATTCTGCGAATTCAATTGATGTCATTGAACGATATCTAAAAACTTGATATACATTTCAGGCATGATCGATTGTAAGACGATCAGTTTAATAGCTAATTAGGTATAGAAGTTTTTTATTGCATACTTTTAGGAAAAAATGAAGAGATCATTTTAATGTTAATGTTTTCGTTCATAAATGTCAGTCATAACGCTGACAAAGCTTCTAAAATAGACATCAACCATAAGATCTTGAAGGATCATTTTATTATCGGGTGGTTCACAGATACAGGTTCTAAAACAGACATCAACTTTAGGGTCTTGAAGGATCATTTTATTATCGGGTGATTCACACACTCGGGTTCTAAAACAGACATCAACTTCAAAGTCTTAGAGGATAATTTTATGATCGGGTGATTCACAGACTCAGCTACCTTTATTATATATAAAGATACGTCTTGGAATCAATGTAGCTTATTGTGGAGAAGATAAAAAGAACAACTCCAAGACTTAAGCTTATGAACGATCTAATATAATATAGTATCACTTTATGATCGCGTTTTCTAAATTGCTCGATAAGATCGAATGGAAGATCAATGAGCTAACCAAAACTTTAAAAATTCTGATTCAAAATTGTTAAGTGGATTTTATAAAATCTCAACAAACAACATCTCCAAGATCTATTTTAAATCAATAACCACCAGAACGCCTTATGTCAATCATAGCCCAGAGCTTTCAAAAATTCATAAGCTGCGATTCAGAGAGATGATAAGTCTTATGGCTATAACTCTAAGAAGCCACTCTTAGCGACAACAACTCCTAGATCGAATCGATAACGATCACGAGGAAGTTCTTAATAATTTATCATTTTATGATCGTGTTTCCTATAGATCACGATTCTACAGATTCAAAGATAACTCAACTTTCTATGATTGAAATTACTAACTTAAACCAAAACGATCAATGCTGCAATTTAGAAAGTTGATAAATCTGATGTCTTTAAATCTAAGAAGCCCCTTAAAAAGACAACTTAAAGATCGTAACGATCACTAGAAGATCCTCAAAAATTCAACAATTTTAAGAGTTAATGCATCAAAACTACCAAACAAATTTTCCAGAATCTCGCAAAGAATCATTCGTGTTTTTTTGAGGACAAGGTTAGCTCAATAAGATCGAAAGAAGAATAAGATCAATTCAGAAAGAAGATGAGAAGCCGGATAACTATAAGACTAAAAAGTCCCTCAAAAAGACAACAACTCAATGATCGTGTCGATCATGAACCACTATTGTTAATGGAATCATGATCAATAGTTAATTCGCTAATGCAAAGAGGTTGCTGTAAGTTGATGCAGAGATTCTGAAGGCATTAATGCTAATCGAGGAGAATGAATTGAGAAAAAGAGGTTGTAATAATAATGGTTTTAAATCTAAGTAGCCTCTTTATAAGACAAACTCAAAGATCGATCACGATCACCACATCAAAACCACCAAACAAATTCTCAAGAATTTCACAAAGAATAATTTAATGATCGTGATTTTTTGCGGACACTGATCGTAAGGAAGTTGACTGAACTTTCTATGATTCAATAATGAATCAGTTCATGATCGTATGTTTTATGGATAAGATTAGCTCAATAAGATCGTAAGGAAGTCGACTGAATTTTCTATTATTCTTTTACCAATTTAACGTAGATTTTCCAATTCAGAAAGATGAGAAGCCTGAGATCTATAAGACTAAGAAGACCCTCAAAAAGACAACAACTCAAAGATTGTATCGATCACGAACCACTGTTGTTAAATTATATCATTACACGATCGATAGTTAATTAGTTGATTCAAAAAGATCCCTGTAAGTTAATACAGCTTCTCAAGTCCATATTCTACTGCTTTAAGGTTAATCGAGGAGAATGAAGTCACAAAGAGAGGCTTAGATTTAGTTCTAACACTTAGATGACCTAACGGTAATAAAATTAAATAAAAAATCACTTGTTTTATTGGGGATCAGTTTTAAGATTCTCTGTTTATTATTTTTTCTGTATTCTCAAATTATTGTATAGTTGTTTGTTGTTGTTTTTTTTTATTTATTAATAATAATAATAATAGTATTACTTTTAATCAATATTAATAATTTATGCAAATAAGTTGTTGTTTATTTGTTTTAAATTTGTTTTATATATATATATATATATATATATATATATATATATATATATATATATATATATATATATATATATATATATTTATTTGTGTTAAATAATTAAATTGCTAAAACTTAACTAAAAAAAAGAAATGAAAATTTGTGTTTAAATTATAATAAAAACAATAAATGATAATAAAAAAAATTTAAATAAATGATAAATACGTTGACAAGGAAAGACAGACAAAATACACAAAATATACTATTATTTAAATGACTATATAAAGTTAGAATTAAACAATTACCCGAGGGGGAAATTGCAAATTGTTTTTAGTATTTAGTTAATTATTTTTTTCAGTTTTTTTTTTTTTTTGTTTTAATATAAAGTTTTGTTAAATTTCGCACAATTTCAATTTAAAATGTCTTCTCTTTAACGTTTATTGCATAAATAAAAAGTTAATGAAAACACATTGTTGTTTTCATTAATATAAACATTTTTCTAAATAAAAAAACAAAAACATATTTAAATTAGTTCACCATTAACTAAAAATAAATAAAAAAAAAACATTTAATGTTTTATGGTTTTTTAAAACAAAAAATTAGAAAAACAAACCAATTTATTGCAAACATAAATAAAATGTGATGTAAAATAAATAAACATTTTTTTTTTTTGTTAAATTAAGAAAGAAATAAGGAATTTTTAATAAATAAAAATTCCTTAAAAGAAAAAAGCAATAATAAATTAACAAAAATATTAAAAATTTAATTTAACTTAATAGTTTTTTTTTAAAACTTCCCTTAACTATTTAAACAAATTGTTAAAAAAAAAATGTTTAAAAATTAAAAAAAAATATGTTTTGCAAGTGTTTGGGGTTAGTTTTATAAATTGTATGATTATGTTTAACTTTATAAACTATTTTCTTTTTTTCATATTTTGAAGCCAAAATTAAATTTTTTTCACTTTTCAAATTTTATGTCATAATTTTAGTTTTTAATTTTGTCCTTAAACTTACACACACACAAGCTTTTTACTTTCTTAAATCTTGTTTTTTTTTTGTTTTCTTTTTTTTATTTATTTCTGTTTGTTTTTTTTTTCCTTTTTAAATATTAGTATATTTTCTTAATGTTGTTGTAGTATAACATACATTTATTCTAAAAAAAACTTATTTTAGTTACAAATTGTTTGTGTTTTCTTGTTTCTTTATTTCTTGGTTTACTTCCTTCTAATTGCCTTTCGTTCTTTTCTTTTAGTTTTAATATAAAATTCTATTCCTTTTCCTGTTTTCCTTGCTCTCTTTCTATTAGTTACGCTCTATTTTGTTCTCTTGTTTTTAGGTTACCGTTACTTTTTCTTATTCAAGAGACTAACTCTTGTGTTGTTTGGCATGTGTATGTTATTTATTATGTTTTTGTTTTCTTTCTGTCCTTTTTCTTGTTATCCTTGACGTTAGCATGTAGTGTAGTCGTTCGTAGTAGTGTGGGAAAGCTTTTGCTTAAGGGCTTTCTTGGGGTGTAGAGGGGTTAAAGACGTTCGTTTTTTGTTTATTACTGGCATTATAAATTTGTTGTAAACTATAATATGAAAAAACACAGTTAACACACAATAAGTGAGACTAATGTGGCCAGAGCTGTTAATTAATGTAAACTTTAATTTAAACACAAATCACACTAGTAAAAGTATTTCACTAATAACACTTCTCTCTATCTTAAAAGGTGTTAATACTTCCGAAATTTAGCAAATTACTGATGTTCTTCCTCTCCTTTGAAAGTTTTACTCAAACATTCTGACACCCAAACTTTTATGGGTACATTAATACTTGTACTGGGACAGTAGCCGAAACCACAGTTTAGTTCCAGAGCATTTTCAAGCAAATGTTCAATGTGATCATTCTTTAACAAGTGCTAAAGAGCAACTTATTTACAGTAAATGATCCGTTTAGTAGTCCCATGCAATAATTTGATATTTCTCTGTAACATATAGGACCAGGATGTCTAAACTGAAATGTATCATGTGCTCCTAATATAATTTAAGCAGGAAAGCAGTTTTGTCTGATGTAATGCATGAGTGTATTACGTGATTCTCCTATATATATGCATCCTTAGAGAAACTTTCGGTAACATTACCTTTCTCCACACTTTACTAAGCCTCAGCGTTACCTTTTGAAACGGAGGCGAATTGTGTGGCTTAACTTTGTATTGGCCTGGTATTAAGTATATTTCCTATAAGCATATACCACAGCCTATATGCTGTCATTGAAAAAAGCTTTCTTGGGAATTCAGGCCGTTTAGTTCAAATGAATTGGAAGACTCACAGCTCTTGTCCTTGTTGCCTGACTTCAAACCCACGACCAACTCTAACCCTTTGAAGATGAATAACAAATTGAGCCGTAAAAAATTCCCTTAAAAGATTTTATATCTGGATCATTCACAAGACAGTTCTTTGTGTCTGAAACTAGTTTAGTTTAAAGTGGGAAAAGCTGCCAGATTAGTCTGTTTATGTTACTGATTTCCAGCAATTGAAACTCTAGTTCATGACTTACCAATCAGGACAAATGGTAGCTGTATTACTCGGAGTATTTTAAAACGACCTTTGAATAATTTTGTCTTTGAATCGTTCACTGAATAGTTTATAATTACAGACACCAACTGCTCAGCCAGTTCTTTGTATATGAAACTATAGTTTGAAGTCGGATTCTTTGATCTCTTTGGTGTTTTAAAGACAATGGCGCAAAATGTTTTAACTAATCTATCATATCATTGGACTCTAGTCTATTATAAGGCAAATAGCAACAAGAAACTGTTCTTCTTCTGAAAAGGAGAATGAATTAGTCCATCAAACAATCGGATATAAGGACTGTAATCGATTGCGAAGCAAATAGCATTGAAAAACTGTGCTTCTTTTAAAAAGTAGACTGAATTGGTCCTTCTCACTTGCTTTTTTCAATTCTGCATTTCCTTTAGCCTTTTGATGAAATTAATCAGAACTTTAAACTCAACTTAGTACTGAAGCAAATAGTATAAAAAACTGTACATCTTTTGAAAAAAGAGACTGAATTGGTCCTTCGCACTTGCTTTCATTTTCAATTCAAGTATAGTTTATTAATTTGACAGATTTCCTTTTGGTTTCTTTTCCTTTTAACTCCAACGAAGAAGCTAAGCTTCTTCCTAAGAAGCTACATTATACTAATCAGATCTTTGGAACCTATTCAATTGCGAAGTTTAAGGCAACAAGCAATTGCGCCTCTCTTGCAACAAGGCTGAATTGGTCCTTCGCACTTGCTTTAATTTTCAATTCAAGATCAAATTATAAATGTTTTTGCTTACATTTGGCTCTTGGAGTCATCATTATCTCAAATTAAGCAGATTGTCTAGATCTGATCTTTAGTCAATAGCGAAGTAAATAGCAACAAGAAACTGAACATTTTTTTTAAAGAAGACTTTATTGGTCATTCTTATTTTGCTTTTCTTTTAATTCTATTGCGTTATAATATTATAATGGTTTCCGAAACCTTTAAGAGATAAGGGAAGTAGCCAAAAGTTGCTTCGTATCAATCAATCGATCGATCGTATATAGTATATAGCGAGTCAAATAGTGGCATTAAGATGTTAGTCTTTGGAAAATTAGACTTGTTTCTACAAACATCAAATCAATCAGATCTTGTTATTGCTGCTGCTTTTGAATAGCAAACTGGATCGTTAGACCTACACCTTCTTTGATAACTGAGTTAGTTCCTCAAACATCAAATCTATCAGATCTTGGTAATGCTGCTGCTTTCGAAATGCAAACTGAATTGTTGGACCTACACCTTCCTTGATAACTGAGTTAGTTCTTCAAATATCAAATCAATCAGATATTGTTACTGCTGCTGCTTTTGAATAGAAAACTGTTGGACATAGACCTCTAATAACATTTCCAATTCATGTGTGGTTTTTGTTTTACGTAGGTAATGGAGAATCCGATGTCAATTTGGAGAATCCGGTGTCAATTTGCTATAACAAAAGCGATCAATTAACCTCCTTTAGGGTATCGTATGGATTTCATTCCAACTTTCTCTTTCTTTGGTAGTTTTTTTTAAAGACTTTTTCCTATTGACCTGGGTTATGATTTTACTTTTAGATAGTTTGTCTTTTCTGAGTTATCACTAGTTGGAACAAAGAAAAGCTGGGCTTGAGAAGGTAGATTAAAGCACCTTTTTAAGATATTTTTTTGGCTTGGCCTCAATGAGACAATTTCAATCCTTTCCTAAAAGCTCATCTTAGAAATTTTACTTGTTTGGCTTATTAAACTCTTTTTAGCAGCTTTGTAGCGTCTTGATCAGGAAATTATTGATATTTTTGATTATTTTTGAGAGGTTTTTGTTGAGTTAGTTTTGAATTCTTTGGAAATGTATAACTGCCCACAGCTGTTCTTAGTTATCAGTTGTGGTGTTTTTTTTTTGTGCTAATTTTTGCAAATAGTTCTTAAGAAAATATACACTTAACTAATCTTATTGCTGTTTTTTATTCAAGAGTCTATTTTAAAGATAAGATTTGGGCCAAATATAATTTATAGCTCATACCAGCTAAGGCGCTTAATTAGCAAATTGCTAAATTAAGAGAAATTTTTTTAAAGGTCTCTCTTTACAGTTAACTGTGTGTGTGTGTGTGTTCAACATATTATAATTAATTTAACCTTGTTAAACCTTAGTAAGTGTCCTTTTTATTAGTTAAGCTTTTAGGCTTTAAATGTGTGTCATATAACTGTTTTACCACTGTGTTTATCCTGTTGGCGTTTTAATGTTTTAAGTTTACCAAGTTTTGTTTTCTTTCCTTGTTGTTTTTGTGTAAGTTTTAGTATTGATTTTCCTTTATAATTGTTGATTTTTTATTGTTTTTTTTTTTGGTATTATTCTATTTGTAGTTTGTTTTAGTTTTATTTTTTGTTTTACTAACACGTGACACCGAAAAAGTTTTGTTTTTTTTAAAGCAATTTGTTTTTTTTTTTTTTCTTATGTTTTTTTTTTAGAAATGATTTTGGTAACGCTTTTGTTTATTTAAAAATATTTATTATTTTACTTAATTAAAAGTAATTTTTCTTGTTTTTTTTCACTAAATGTACTTAATTATTTGCTTTAATTTTAGAATTTTTTTTTATTAAATTTACTGTTTAGTTAACAGTAAATTAAGAGTCTAATAAGAAAGTAACTGAAATTTGTTTAGTTTTCTAAATAAAAATAAAGGATTTTCTTGAACACAAACAAAAACAAAAGCTTTTTTTTTGGTAAATTTTTCCTTAAACAAACAAGGAGTTAGGAGTTAGGGTCGAATTATAAGACCCCCCCTTTGAGACAGGAGTAAACATCATCAATTATAATCAGTTGTTGTTGTTGTTGTTTTATACATATATATATATAATAGGTTTTGTAAGTATATTTAAAATAAAGCGTTACTTTACATTACGTTTATTAAGTTTTCTCTTTATTTGGATGTATTTTTGAGTTTTCTCTTTTTTTTTGTTCTCTCTATATATGTACTCTTTATATATATATATTTTACACCTGAATAGTCTTGTGATTAGTTGTTTTTTTTTTCATTTCTCATACTATTTTATAAACAAATGTCTATGTGTTGTTGGTTTTTTTTTTTATTTCAAAGTTTTATTTTTTTTTAATAATATTAAATATACATAAACAAATAAATAGTAGTATAGTGGTGTGTGTGTATGTAGTAATTTACTAAATATATATAAATCTATATATAAATAGCAATAAAATTTATTTTTTTCTCTTTTAAGATTAATTTGTTTTTGTGTGTGTTTTTTTCCACCGATCTCTTTAAATTATATAATTAATTAATTAATTTTCTCTTGTAGGTTTTATTATTATCTTTAGCTTTATCATTAATATTAAATTTAAAGAATTATGCTACAAAATTTATAGTATAATAAACAAAATATGTAAGAAAAACAAAAAAAATCTAATGTTAATTGTTCTTATATAAAAAAAAATAACTAAAAACAAAAACATGTCGTATAATATTATTATTTTTTTTTTAAAGGATGATGTTTGTTGTTTTTTTATTATTATTTTATTACATATTATTTATTATTAATTCGCTAAATATGTTTAAACCCGTATAATCCGCACACGATCCTTCAAATCAATTGTAATTTTTAAAGTTGTTCTCTGTTGCTGGTGTGTTGTTGTTGTTGTTGTTTTGGTTCTCTTCTCTGCTAGTTAGTTATTTTATTTTTACAATTATTTGCTTGTTTGTTGTTTGTGTTATTTCCTCTAAGAGCGGACGGTCCCTTAATATTGCCGTTATTATGTTTTTGTTTGTTTGTTTTTTTTTTAGCAAAGTATCAAAAAACCTTTATTTTTTCTTTGTTGTTGTTGTTGTTTGTTATAATATTGCTTTGGTGTTTACTGCAAAAGAAGAGCAGAAAAGAGAGAGAGAGAGAGAAAAAACACAAAGAAAATTATAATTTATATCCTTTTTTTTAAGTTTCATTTGAGGGTGTTAACTATCAAATGTCCTCTTCGTTGTTGTTAATGATGATGATTAATTGTCAATGTTTTATTAATTAAAAATGTTAGTTTTGTTAAAGACACTCACAAAATTAAACGAAAAAAAAATGTTAATTAATTATCACAAACACCAAATTAAAACACTTCACAGGCAAATTTAACACATAAAGGCCATTAATTATATAAAATAATATTTATAAATTAGTAGTAAATAAAATTTTTAGCAAATTAATTTAAAAATAATAAAGTAAAGCATACTTTGGGGATTAGTTTAATATAAGTAAATAATAAAAATTTAATTAAAGTATACCATAAGGCGTTATTTACAAAATAATAAAGTGCATACTTTAAGGGTTAAGCGTAATAGGGGAAATACCTTAAAGAGTTAACTTCAATTCAAATTTACTTTGGGCAAGTGTCCTTAATATCTGAGAAACCGAATATGTTTTAAATTTCAGATTGCCGTCTTGATTCTTTGCAAAAATGTCAGTGCCATCAATGGGTAATATTGGCTAATACTGGCTAGTTTTTGGTCTATTAGAGTGTCAGTTTTGAGATTGTCAGCTTTTGTCTTGAAGATAAGACAATACTGGACTTATGCCCAGTATTTTCGTGCCCTTAAACTGTTTATGTTCTATGCAACTCTAACATAATTACTTTTCATCATTATGTAGATCAAAATTGACCTGGTTAGAGTACGAACAATAATCTATTCATACTACTCTTAAATTGAATGCGTTCTCTTTATGGACACCATCAATCTAGAGTCATTAAACAGTTGCTAAACTTGATCTTTTAAAAGTTTGCTAATCATTACTTTTACAAAGTGTTTTAGCTTCTCCACAAAATGTATCATGATCTCTTGGACGATATTCTCAGAATTTATTTAGGTTAGATCGCATGAAAACCTCGCTATTTAGCGAGATCATGACAAGTCATGTGACCCATAGTAATAACCTTAAAATGATACCGATCTTGAGAATTCTTTGATCCCCGGGGAAATATCCGGTTGTTCTAATAAAATAGATTATATCTTTGACATTTCTGATTCCAAAACATTATTGTATTAACAATTTTCTATCTGGGGCAATAACATTGAAGGTGTTGTATCGATTATTCTTTACGTTAACAATTTCAGACTTATATATAGCGCCTAACATGTTTTCTTATGAGCGCTTTTCTCAGAAGACTTTAATGATCTGTGTAGTTCAGGCTTATATCGCATAGCATGATCTTATGGAGCTTTCCTCGGAAGTTATTTAGGTTAGATCACATCGAAAGCTCGCTATTTATCGGGATCATGGAGAGTTATTTGTCTAGTTGTAATAACCTTAAAATTATCCCGATCTTGGGAATCCATTGATGCCCGAGGAAACAACCGATACTTCTAACAAACTAGATTAGATTCTTATATTGTAGTTTGTAAAATGAGGCACATAGAAGATGTTGTACCGATTTTCTTCATTTAAACAATTTCAGACTGATAGTCTATATCATGATCGGAAGTTTTTTCGTTAAGAAGTTATTTAGTTTTGCAATTTAGAGAGTACAACAGAGATTAATTTCACTCTCAAAATGATCTACTCTAAATTAGACGATCTTGTCAATCCTTTCCAAAAGAAGCTACCGGTAATTCCAACAAATTATATTAGATTTATCTTTGTCAGTCCCGATTCTAAAGGATTCTTGTTCCTCATTTCATAATCTACTACCTTGCAGAGTGTGTCACTCTAGGTACCGATACTTCTTTATCTTAACAACTTATGATGTAACATGACTCCAGTCACACTGTTCCCGTAAATATGAAATATTAATAAGCTGCTATTCAGGGCCAAGTATGTTAAGGTCTTTCTCTGTGTCAAATCGAGAACCAGAAAAATTGAAAGGTTCTGCAAGTGATAATAGAAGACACTTGTGTTTCCATTCATTGATCATTTACTTTTTGTTTTCAACTTCATTTGACCGAATGTTCTTATGCCCTTGATTTAATATCTTTCTAATGCTTAACGGGGAGCATTAAATGAAGATGAAACGATCTTGTTAATCAAATTTTCTAAACAACTAGGTTTTAGTTTCGCCCTGGAATAAATATTTTCATTCACATAGCTGTCACTAGTCCGGGAAATTTCTAACAAGCGAGATTTATGACAAAGTTTTCAAATCTCCAATCACATTTAATTAAAATATAATTTATCAATTTATCTTTTTAATATTTCACGATTTAAAACAATAAAAACTAATTTCATTTTACCAATTTAAAAAGCAATAATAAAATAATTTCCATTAAACACCAAAAATTATAACTATTATACGTTAATAAATTATTAACTCATAACGTGCCACGATAGAAGTGAACTTTTAAAACGGAAGTTATTAATAATATTTATTATACTTAGTAAGCAGACCAAAACAATTTTAATAATAATATAATAAATAATATAATGTATTTTTACAGGGATATAAAAAACAAACTTAAAATAAAACATAAATAAAATATACACCGACAGAAAGCAATGTTAATAAAGCTTTTAAGTAAAATATATACAAATAGGAACTAAATAATTTCGTTTTAATTGCAAATAAATAAACAAATAATTTTATCAAAAAGTTTTATAAGATTTCTTGCCAAAAAAAAAATTAATTTACTTTTAAGGGGTTAAACAATTTACATTAAAATTTTTTTTAAGATAAAAATAAACACAATTACATAATTTCATTTTTTTTTTTTTTGTAAATGTTTATACTTTATATGAACAAGCTGTTTTCAAAAATGTTGAGAAAATATTTTAATGACAATTTGTAGCAGAAGTTGTTGAAAAAAAAAGAAATAAAATAAATATATTTAATTGTCTACGACAAATTTAAAAATACTTATACAAAAATGTAAAAGCCAACAGAAAAAAAAATGTTGAGTGTTTTAACACATCTGCCAAATCATGTGTGGGGGCTTAAGGGGTATAGAAACCAAAACATTAAATATTGATACAAAATTAAAAGACTGTCTAAAATTTATTTAAATTTATTTGCAAATATTATGTTTATGTGTGTGTGTAGAAATTGAAAAAAAGTATGAGTTATTTTTAAAACTTATATTTTAAAAAATTATAGATTATTTTTGGGGAAATTTTAGAAACAAATTGTATGCAACCTTCACCTTTAATGAGTGGAAAATAATAAGTTCAGGAATTTGTTGGCAACAATTTAGATAAATTAGACAATGATTTCTTTTTCAGGGAAATATATTTCTTACTTCATGCCTGCCCGGATAGTTGTAGAGCTAAATGTATAGCACCGATAGAAGTTGGATCAGAACTCGGAATCAGATGCTTTCTGTGATTCAACGCTACACAGATGGCTATAAGCTAGGAACAAGAACAATCAGAAATTCTATAGTCTAGTCTATAGTCTAGTCTATAGTCTAGTCTATAGTCTAGTCTATAGTCTAGTCTATAGTCTAGTCTATAGTCTAGTCTATAGTCTAGTCTATAGTCTAGTCTAGTCTAGTCTATAGTCTAGTCTATAGTCTAGTCTATAGTCTAGTCTATAGTCTAGTCTATAGTCTAGTCTAATTTCTAGTCTATAGTCTAGTCTATAGTCTAGTCTAGTCTATAGTCTAGTCTATAGTCTAGTCTAGTCTATAGTCTAGTCTATAGTCTAGTCTATAGTCTAGTCTATAGTCTAGTCTATAGTCTAGTCTATAGTCTAGTCTATAGTCTAGTCTATAGTCTAGTCTATAGTCTAGTCTATAGTCTATATAGTCTAGTCTATAGTCTAGTCTATAGTCTAGTCTATAGTCTAGTCTATAGTCTAGTCTATAGTCTAGTCTACAGTCTAGTCTATAGTCTAGTCTATAGTCTAGTCTATAGTCTAGTCTATAGTCTAGTCTATAGTCTAGTCTATAGTCTAGTCTATAGTCTAGTCTATAGTCTAGTCTATAGTCTAGTCTATAGTCTAGTCTATAGTCTAGTCTATAGTCTAGTCTATAGTCTAGTCTATAGTCTAGTCTATAGTCTAGTCTAGTCTATAGTCTAGTCTATAGTCTAGTCTATAGTCTAGTCTATAGTCTAGTCTATAGTCTAGTCTAGTCTATAGTCTAGTCTATAGTCTAGTCTATAGTCTAGTCTAGTCTAAGTCTAGTCTAGTCTAGTCTATAGTCTAGTCTATAGTCTAGTCTATAGTCTAGTCTATAGTCTAGTCTATAGTCTAGTCTATAGTCTAGTCTATAGTCTAGTCTATAGTCTAGTCTATAGTCTAGTCTATAGTCTAGTCTATAGTCTAGTCTATAGTCTAGTCTATAGTCTAGTCTATAGTCTAGTCTATAGTCTAGTCTATAGTCTAGTCTATAGTCTAGTCTATAGTCTAGTCTATAGTCTAGTCTATAGTCTAGTCTATAGTCTAGTCTATAGTCTAGTCTATAGTCTAGTCTATAGTCTAGTCTATAGTCTAGTCTATAGTCTAGTCTATAGTCTAGTCTATAGTCTAGTCTATAGTCTAGTCTATAGTCTAGTCTATAGTCTAGTCTATAGTCTAGTCTATAGTCTAGTCTATAGTCTAGTCTATAGTCTAGTCTATAGTCTAGTCTATAGTCTAGTCTATAGTCTAGTCTAGTCTATAGTCTAGTGTATAGTCTAGTGTATAGACTAACCAAAAGTCTAGTCTATAGCCTAGTCTATAGTCTAGTCTATAGCCTAGTCTATAGTCTAGTCTATAGCCTAGTCTATACCCTAGTCTATAGTCTAGTCTATAGTCTAGTCTATAGTCTAGTCTATAGTCTAGTCTATAGTCTAGTCTATAGTCTAGTCTAGTCTACAGTCTACAGTCTAGTCTATAGTCTAGTGTATAGTTTAGTCTATAGTTTAGTCTATAGTCTATTCTAGTCTATAGTCAAGACTATTGCA